ATTTGGAGTCTGCAGAGGATGTCATCCATAAAATTTACTTGCTGTGGCCTTACCTTCCTCATGAGATTCCCCATCTTCAGAATCAGATTCAGTTCTCGGTTTCTTCGACTTCTGTCCAGGGGTTTGTTCCCGATGTTCTTCCTTCCTTTTAAGTTTGCTTGTGGATGGCTGTGGCTCCTGTAACTCTGCATGCATGGATGAGCAATACATGTACGTTAGGTATGGACCAGGAAATATAGAATAGTCTTTTAAATTTGTACAATAATGGTTGTTTCCCTTCATATTCTTTTGCTGCACTGAGACTATAGATTGTCACTATACATGCTATATGGGCATTCAAAAGTTCTGTGTGATAAATACAACTATCACAATCATTGGAATCTGTAGTAGCATCTCATTCCTTATCTATCTGGTAGTGTCATTCTCAAAGTCTCTCACTCTAAATATATCTTCATCTTACACTGATGTTACAGTATCGTAAAACAGAATTGGTTCAAGGATAACATCTGAAGCTAGAGATGTAATGGGAAAACTTCCATTTTAAAGAGCAACTAAACACAACGGTGTTGTAACAGTGGGGGGTTCATAGGTGCTACCAGCTGACCTGGCCGATATCTAGACCTTTTAGCCGAATCGTTACAGCATCATGTGGACTGAGAATCTGAATCTATTATAATAAGAAAACTGGTAAACGCACCTTCCAAACTCTCTGCAGTGGCCCGTTCATCAATGTCGATGAGTGCATGCTTCAGAACCTGTAGAGTAGCCTCCTTTCCCTCCCTGTTTCTCCACCTGTGCAGCACTTCTCTGCACCTGTGGTCTTGATCAGGCTTCAATGTCTCATCTGTCCAGATTCCTTTAATTTTGTTCTCGCTGAACCCTAACTTCCGGGCCAGGTCGTCCCACTTGTGGCTGACGCCATCGATGACTTTGTCAAAATATTTCTGCACATCAGCTGTAACATTTAAGGGCATTTCATGACGACATGAATATAACCAGTATTATGTATGAAGTATGATACTTTAGTGGGTTTTTCTTCCATTGCTTTGTCATTTGCAGTTGTAGATGCTGGCATTTGTTAATAACCTTCTAAATCACTAAACATTAAGGCTAGAACGGCAGTTAACTTAGAGCTACTAAGAAAACATCTGGACTCCATCTGTAAGCAGGAAGGATCTCCCCATTTGTTACATTTTTCAACAAGGAAAATGAGTTAATGGTAAGGCGGGCGAGTGCAGGTATATTTGTAGTAATTGTAGGTGTCCAAGGTTTCAGGTGTTTGGCTAGATTTTAGAGGCTGACAGCAACTCGCTAAAGCTTATTGTTGTGTGATTAAAAAAGCATATGGATAAAGTTTCACCTGAGCACCCAGCCGCCCCCTGGCCCTCAGCCATGACTCACACAGGTGTCAGCTACATCAGCATTATAGGAACACCTGGAACAGACAGGTGTGTGTCAGGTATGTGGTAACAACACCTGGAAAAGACAGGTGTGTGTCAGGTATGTGGTAACAACACCTGGAACAGCATAACAGATGTGTGAAACAATATCTTGTAGCTTAAGTATCAATTGATGTACTAGTAATTTCTAACTGCATATTATTAATGGATTTACAGTATACACAAGATATAGTATGCAAATTAGGTTTTGGTCATAGTTTATCCATAGTGATGGGGTAAATACCTGATTTTTTTAGTTCTTATCATTTATAATCAGGTGGACAGGGCTCGAAATTAACATTGTCCCAGTGTCAAATGACACTAAATTTTCAGCTTGGGACAATTCAAATTACGTTTCGGGACAATTTTGGGGCAATTGGAAAATTGTAAGACCATCCACGTCATTTGGGAACGCGATCCATCCATCCATCCTGCTGCAGACTGCTGGCAGCCTATAAATATATAATACTCTGACAAATATTTAAATTTGACCAATCAGGGATTCCAAATATCAGGGACGGTGCCATGCCCATGATATTATCATGTATTTCCCTACATTTACTAATAAAGTGGACTTCAAGTTGTACAAATTCAGTTCTTGTTTTCTTATTTTTGTCATCAACTTATTTCCTGAAAAGCAGGCTGGGACAGTCCATCTTCAGTTCGGGACAATTGAAATCTATGTTCGGGACAATTCTGGGACAATAGTGAAAAAAGTTAATTTCGAGGCCTGGGTGGAGATAATTTCTGTTTCAGTATCGTTTAATCTCAGAACAAAAATAACGTTAGTTACGTTACCCGAGCGTGTGAGATGGTCTCATCATATTTAGTAAGGGGCTGTTAAAAAAAATAACTGTGGAGGGGGGGTGGAAGAGGTCTAAAATCAGCTTTTGGCCCAACCCCCCTGTCCAGTCCAGAATTTTTTTTACCCACCCCCCTGTCCAGTCCAATTTCATTATTTCGACCCATCCCCCCTGTCCGTTCCAGGTTTGTTTGACCCAACCCCCCTGTCCAGTCCAGGTATTTGACCCAACCCCCCTGTCCAGTCCAACCTCTTCCGCCCCCCATTCTCCTTTATTTTTTGGAATAGCCCAAGGTTTTTTTTTAGGCGCCAGTACAGTAGTTCTTTTCAACCTTTTGGTTTCGTCGCTTCCAGTGGTAATTTTGTAGGAAAATACAACTTTGCAGGTGAACTTGAGTATGCTGGGTTTGAAACTTCACGGGTAACTTTGTTTTTAACTGATTGTTCATCCTAAATTTTTACCGCAAATCTAAATAGCAAACAAAGAAAAGTTACGACCGTAAAGTACCGTTAGAACTCAACAGTTTGTGTTCTGATTTCTCTTCTCGACACGATATTGCCAACAAATCACACACATCTGGTGGATCCTGAAACACTGAACAGTCGACAGACGGGATCTGTACTTACTTTCTTCATGGATGTCGCCAGAAAACTTCCTTCAACTTCTGGAACCGACTTTCGAGAACTTTTTAACTTCTGCCTACCGCCATTTTGGAATGGAAGAATCTACTACACAACAGGGGTGATCTTATATATAGAATATAGTATAAATAAAACAGACAGCCTCAAGTGTTACAAACAAAGTTTAAGTCCATTGTCAAAGCAAAGTACAATATTAAGTATTTCTTTCAATTCACAAACACTAATTAAAACTGTGTGATTGGCGGTACATTTTACTGAATTTATTGATGACTCCTGCGATGTTCAGAAAATGGAACGATCTGGGAATTGCACTACGTGACAGAAGAATTATGGTGGCACTTCAGTGGTATAACACACTGTATTGTGTTAGATACAAAATAAAATTCCTTTGGGAACTGACTTTT